TCTAAAGGTTAAGCTCTCACTGTGAAATCCAAAGGTCTTGAGTTCAATCCCTGGTGGGGCTGTGGACAAGCACTACCGAAGTGCCCACTGATAAAACGAAACAGCTAATTGATGTTTCCTGATTTACACTCTCTTAACTGAGATCAATTTGTAGTATAAACCACTGAAACATAGGTAACTTCTTTCGCTGACTATTTCATTTACTATCTATTTTACATTACTACAGTGTAGTTGAACTCTCTTTAAGTTAATATACACAACTTTATATACTTAATATAGCATTTCTAAATGTGATTTTGTTTTAATTAGTTATGTTTTTATTTATGTTCTGATGCATCATCTTTTAATGGATCTGTGTACTTGATTAATTACCATGACTAAAATTGTAAAATCGAATATTTAACCATTAATTTTGATTTATTTCTATTTTTACTAGCTAGTGTAAATAGAGTGAACATATATATGTCTTTTATGAAAGATTGAAACACCCTTACAGATTTTGATCGAGTTTAGTAGTCTAAAAGTTTGTTTCAAAAGTAGTTTTAAATATCTTACAGTTTATTCATTTCGTTAAAAATATATGTTCCATCTTATTCTCCTACACATATATTGTATGTTAAATAATTTCAAACCAAGCTATCAGTAATAAAAACTTATTTTGTTGTGTTGAATCACATTATTTTGACGGTTTTTAATCTACATACTTACGCCTGTTACTTTCAATCGAACATAGACCACCGACCAGCACTCTCCAACCCACTCTGTCCTCCGCCTTCCTTTCTAGTTCTATCCAATTTTTGTTCATTCTTCTCATGTCTATTTTCATTTCTCGGCGTAATGTGTAATTTGATCTTCCTCTCCTCATTCGGCCTTGACGAGTCCGAATGAGGGCTTGCCTCGTGATGTAGTTTGGTGCTTTCCTCAAAGCAATACCTATCCACTTCTAGCACTTTTTCCTGATTTCTACCTCCTCTGGATTCTGATTTAATCTCTCCCACAGTAGGTTGTTGCTGATGGTGTCTGGCCAACGGAATCGAGGCGATTTGCTTAGAAAATTGTTGATGAACACTTGCATCTTCTGGATGATGGGTTTCGGAGTTCTCCAAGTTTCCATTCCATACAGTAGAATGGTTTTGATATTTGTACTGAAAATTCTGACTTTGGTGTTTGTTGACAGACAGTTATTTTCAGTTCCAGATTTTTTTCAGTTGTAGATATATGCTGCTCTTGCTGTGCCGATTCGTGCCTCCACATCTGCATAGGATCCACTGTGTTCAGCAACCATACTGCCCACATATGTAGAAGATTTTACATCCTCTAAATCTTCTCTGTCATGTGTGATTGGATTGGTGCATGTTGTGTTGTATCGGAGAATCTTGCTTTGTCCTTTGTGTATGTTGAGACCTACTGGTGATGAGGCTGTTACTACACTGGTCGTCTTCTCCTTCATTTGTTGCTGTGTGTGAGATAGAAGAGTCAGATCATCTGTGAAATGTAGATCGTCCAGCTGCATCGTAGCTGTCCAGTGTGTCCCATGCTCTTCCCTGAATGTTGACATCTTCATGATCCATTTGATCACCAGGAGAAGGAGAGAGGGTGAGAGTAAGCAACCTTGCCTGACACCAGTCTTTACTTCGAACGACTTTGTCAACTGTCCTCCGTGAACGATTTTGCAGTTTAATCCATTATAGACATTCCATATGATATTGACTATCTTCTCAGGTACACCATTGTGTCGATGAAGCGTCCATAGTGTTGTCCTGTCGACGCTATCGAATGGTTTCTCGTAGTCAATGAAGTTGATATAGAGTGATGAATTCCATTCAATTGATTGTTCCACAATGATCCGTAATGTTGGTATTTGGTCGGTTCAGGATCGATCCTTGCGGTATCTAGCCTGTTGGAATTTCGACAGTGGCATCATCGATATCAGCCACAACAGTTTGTAATCAATTTTCATAAGTAGTATTTAACATAAACAGGGCAAATCATGGAACTGTGTGTATTTCAAACAAATACTCTTAAAGTAGGTATTGAATGTAAGAAGATTATCATCTATTTCAAACGTATATTTCAATATTGTTTTTAGAACAATTATGAGAAATTAATTGGAATTCTGAATTATAAGTTTAATATGTCTATTTACAGTTTAGGAAAGTTTAGGTGAATGTAAACAACGAAATTATAACAGAAATAAATTCTTAAATAATTTCTAAAAAAATGTCTTCAATCTTAATTAAACATTAGTAATTGTACTTCATTTGCAAATCTTTGTGTCCCAGAGTGAATATCCACTCTGATATGCAGGTACATCCACTTGATGAGTCCTGAATAAGAAGAAATGTGTGTCAAGCTGGATTCCACTGCTAGCCACTATCCATCTTTGTTTATAAATATTGTGACTTAAGACAATATTGAGGCAATAAGGACAAGATGCATATATGCCAACAAGAAACTGATCAATCACAGTCCTAAATAACAATGGGAAGATACATGTAAATAATACCAAGAGTAATCTTGGTATAGTTTGAATAAAGGAATTCATTAGTTATTCAGATTTATTAAAAATGCAAAATATATAAATATGTATAAATATTGAGAATATTTGCAGATCAGGATAGGGATTTTCAAAGTCTTATAGTCTCTGAGCTGGACATGTTCGGTTATGAAACTTTCATCGTTCAGCTGAACAACATCATCGGTAAGTATGTCAATGAGTTTAATGAAACCCAATAATCCCCACAACTCTACACTGAATTTTAATTCCATGGTGCATTTCTCTGTATTGACAAATCTTTTGAAACTTGAATGTAATACTCACGTATTCAAACATTAGATTATTCTATACAATAGCTTTGAAATTTTATAGTCATAACATCAAAAATGTCAATTACTACTAGGTAAATCAGTATGTTTAGTTTATCACATAATTAAATGAAATTAGTCTTCAGATACCTTATAAAGCCAACAACAACAAAAATTCACTGTTTAGATTAGAACAGTAACTTCACATCATGCTTTTGTCATATTTTCATCAGAATATCTAAAATATACGAATTTAAATGTCAACTATATGTAAATACGTAGCTCAGCAGATATCTGAGCAAATTATTACAGAAGTATTTAGTAAATTAATAAAGTAAATATACCTTAAATAGCTACACGTTCACAGAGATTGATCAAATTAGAATGATTATTTTGTCTTTCACTTATGTTGTTAGTTTACACTTGATGGTTTGTACATAAATAAACTAAAGAATAGTTTACTAATATTTGACACTATCATTTCACAAATAAGTGCAGGGATATAAATATAATTGCTAACCATTACGAATATCATTACAATGTTTGTTAGTATTTTTAGCGTTTTTTTAGCGGGTTAGTTTTCTACGGGATAGTGTCGGTAACCCCACGCCCAATCCTCCTCGTAGCCCTAGAGGGGCTCCAGGCGGCTAATGACCTTTTGAACACACATAAATATTAGGAACAAGCTGACAGTCAAGTACATTTACATTATTGACAGGGTTATTAGCGATGAATATGTAATGATACCAATTTAATTCATAGAAAGATTCTCAGAATTATTTTAAAACATATTGAAGATTTAAGCGTTTAAACTAAAGTTTTAGTAACCCAAACCGTATAAATTGATGTAGCAGTGAATACTCTAAAATAGCATCTAAAAATACAGAATAATATTTACAACCTTTCATTTTCATGTTCCTATCATATAGTTTGGTTATTACAAGTGTCTTACAGTAGAAATGATATTCTGATTAAGTAGTAACTGATGTAAACCTTCAACTGTAAGATCTGAAGGTCCTGGATCCGTTTTCCCATCGAGTCTGGTATATGTACGGCTTAGAAGTTGTGAAATAAAGTGAGAAATGAAGCCAATTTGTCTAAGTTCAATCGTTCCATAATGTTGTGCAGCCCAGTGCTTCTAGATTTTCACTGGTTTTCCAGTTTAGATCAACTCGTGAATTCAAATGTAAAAATACCTTAATCTTCAAATATCTCTATACTGATTTTGAAAAGAATCAATTAATAGTGAAGTTTGTTTTTTACATAACCGGATACAAAAAAAACCTTATTGCAAATGTTCGATCTCTGATATATAACTGTATTATGACCAACACAAGGAGATTTCCAAATTGATTTACTAAACTAATCAATACACTAATAAAATAAAGCGATTGTTTACTTGTAAACCTGTCAAGGTTCCACTAAAACTAATCGCAAACGAATTGAAAAATGAAATTGTATAATAAATGTCTTCAATAATTATTGACATTTACTGTAAAATTCATCATAAGTACTGCTGATTTTTTTAAATGCAGGGTTATAGATTTATGATAGAAAAACTAAACAAACACTCAGATTTTACTTAACATTAATTGACATTTATATAAAAACAAGGATGGAAAAAACATCTTAATAATAAGGTATTAATAACTTTCTCTTTTATACTTAAACTATTACATATATCGAACACGGTAAATGAAACACTGTTTTCTTCTCGAAGATATTATATTGAAGGAACCATTAAGAATCACTTATACATACATATATCGAAATAATCTTGTATACACCATAAAAAACAACATTCTATGCTATTTGTAAGTGTGAGTGAATTGGTTGAAGTTAGACATTAACACCGTCGGATGCTGGCCGGCTCATTGGTCTAATGGTTAAGCGCTGGAGCGCGAGACTGATATGTCCTGGGTCCAAATCTCGCGAGGGCGAGATCGTGGATACGTATTGTTGAGGAGTTCAATAATCGGACGAAACGGCCGTCCAGTGATCCAGGTTTTCCATGGTGGTCTAGCTTCAATTGACTCATTTTTTCATCTATTGAAGTGAGTTAATGTATTTCGATCAAATAAGACGTAAGTCAACATAATGTCTTATTTCAATATCCTATTTATTAAATGATATACATTCCCATTTCCATTTTTTAATCAGCAACTATTTTTTTTATATTTTTGTTTTAAAAACAGTTGGCGAGATTACACTCTATATACATAGTTTTAATTAATTTTAATTTTAGAAAAAAAGTATACATTTTCAATATGCTTCAATTCTATTTTGGATTATATGGATTAGCCATCTTTTTATGTTTTCTTGGGTTTTTATATGCTTTAATTGAAAAAGCATATAAACGGTTAACAATTAATGTAAACAAATCTCATTTATCAAATCATTCTGAAATTATTTCATCCAGCTCAAATCAAAATAGTATAATTCATAAAAAAGTTCCAAGTATCATTGAAAAGGTTGAATCAAACAATTTAATAGATACAGTGAAAATCAATGAAATCTTTAAAAGTAAGTTAGTTAATTAATATATTTGTTTATAGTTTAATTAGATTATCCATAAATCATATTCTAATTATCTAAATAGTTGAATACTTCTTATAGGTAACTATTACTTCATAGGGTTTATTAATCATTTTTCTTGTTTACAAATAACTAAAATATTACTTTAATGTATTTTAATAGAAAGTTTAGAAATGAATTCCTATAAATTAATATTATTTCTTTACTAAATATAAGTTTATATTTCACTTGATGTTGTTTTACTTGTATCTTTCCATTGTTATTTAGGACTGTAATTGATCAGTCTCATGTTGGTATATATGCATTCTATGCGGATTGTCTCGATATAGCCTTAAGTCATAAGCTTATTAAACAAAGATGGATAGTGGCTAGCAGTAGAATCCAGGAGTGAATATCAATTCTGGGATGCAGGTACATCAAGCTGACGAAACGTGCGCCAAACTGGATTCCACTGCTAGCTACTATCCATCTTTGCTCAAATATAATTCTGTTTTGTAATCCATTGAAAAGTATCAATATTCATGACAATTTTAGGTTGAATGAAAATAATGAAAACAACAGAATAAAAATAATCAATTTAAACGAACTAGTTGTACTGCTGGAATTGGAAAAAAATATTTTTTTAAAAAATCACTATTTTGTTTATGAAAAATACAAATGTCAACTATTTTTTTCATCAAAATAAGATGATCTCTATTATTTTTTATTTGTTAGTTGTTGTTTGTAATCAGAAGGGGGGTTGTTGTAGAGATTGTAATAATTTTATAGTTGAATTCATGAGTCAATTGAAGCTAGACTACTACGGGATACCTGAAAGCACTGGATGGCCGTTTCGTTTTAGTATGGGATTCCTCAACAGTGCGCATCCACGATCCTGCCCTGTGAGATTCGAGGTAGATTGATCCTGGGCTTGAATCTTGTGAGGCGGGATCGTGGATACGCATTGCTTAGGACTCCTAAACTAGGACGTCCAGTGTTTTTAGTCAGCTAATTTTTGTCCAACATAATGTTATCCCATAACTCTTATTAACAGTAAACACTTACATGAAATAATAATATAAATACTATTTCATTTCTTTTCGGTCAGTAGTTATAACAAACTGATAAGCAGAATTAATGAACTACTTTGTATTTTGAGATCGTAGATGTGCACTGCTGAGGAGTGCTATACTAGGACTAAACGGTCATCCAGTGCTTCCAGGTTTTCCGTGGTGGTTTAGCTTTAATTGACTCATGAACTGAACTATTAAATAAACTAAACGTTTGAGATCATAATACAGTTTTTGGATGTACTGCGTACTTTAAACTAGATGATGAATGCATAATTCGTTTGTCATCTCGCAAAACAACACAAGAAATTTGTTATAACTTGTGGTTTCGTGTCCCTATCAACGTATAATGTAATGAAACCGCGAATTAGGAAACAGTGATTTATCGACCGGTCCAATGACGCATAAAACCCTTACGAGCAGTCTAGAGTCTTTATCGGTCCTGCTTCTCGCCTAGCCCTACCTGTTAAGTCCAGAACATCAATCTCAGCTTCCGCGATATGAATAATTTATTTCAAACATACTGGGTTTATATATCAACCAAACAGACCAAATCATACCATAAAATAGAAAGTAACATTTGTACAAGATCTAGCCAAAAGAGGCTGTGAACGTGAGAGACGGTAATTACTAAACTGGGCATAACTCAAGAATGGTAAACTATATAATAATCGTTCATAGGTCAAAATAAAGCTTACAATAGAAGGAACACAAATATGAATAATTTAGTTATTTAACAATTATACGATAAAAATATATGTAAAGTATTTATCCAGAAATAGATCCCAACATCTACCATTCATTATTCTCATCGGGATATAACAAAATTAATACCTACAAAGTTAATTAATGAACTATTTAAGTCGGAAACATTGTATCTTTTAAATGTCTCTTCTAAGCAACACATATTCATCATTTCATTACAAAATGTATTTGAAGATGTTCTTTATAGTTTCGCTTTATCAACTACTTGTTTATAACAATTATACATGAAAAATTATCTTTGGGTAATGGAATTTTATCATTTTGGTAATTAATTTTCCATACTGACCTTAATATGATGAAACTAAGATTCTATGACTAACATTTACTACAGTACTAGCATTGTAATGTTTTTTTTATATTGCATTAATAGGATATGACTTATATAGGTTAGTTTTATTTTTGTCCTATTTGAAAACACATTATGTTTTAAAAAAATATTCAAACTATTACTACATATCATTGAATATTGGTTGTGAAAATAAGTTAATTTGAATTAGGTTACTGTATAAATAGTGCAATATTTCTGTTCATGTCAAACAGGTCACTAAAGTAAACATATTAGAACATTTTAAAGCAGTTGTTTAAATATTCTAAGGATTTAACATTGACATAAGTAAATATGGCAACTTATTTAAATTAGTATAAATAGTTATGTAATAAAGGTAGAGTTTATTAACTTTCAAAAAGATCTAAAGTAAAAGATTATATCAGTAATCAGTTAGGTAATATTTAACATTAGTTAAATACGAATAGATCTTGATCATTTGACGAGAGTTTTAAAGCACTTTCTATATCAAACACACACTAACTCGTTTCATACTCTTGAATTGTATTCCATTTTATAACATATTTCATATTTACATTGAATGAAGATAATCAAAGAATATATCCCAATAAAACAATAGTATTGGTAATGTATAAAGTAATACAATAACAATTTATCAATTATTAATATTTGATTACATTCAACTTAGGTTCTTATAATCAAGAGAATAATGAAAATCAATTAAATGATTCAGATATAAGTACACCAACTGAAGAAATGAAAACAATAATAAATGAAAAATACATTGAAAATAATCATGATCAAATTCATGCTAAAATAGATATATCAATGAAATCATTCTCTGAACGTCGACAAGAACGTCGTAAACGTTATAAAGCTAAAAAAGGTCAAAGTTCATCATCTGGTTGCTTTTCAATTAATTCTTCTATAGATGAATATGATACTGGAAATACACTTATAGAAGATTCAGATGAGACAACAAATGTTAGCAATTGTTCAATGTTATCAGATAGTAATGATTCTCAACCGGATTATTTTATTTTGGAAACACATAATATGTGTGAATTAAGAAATTCAATACAAATAACGAATTTGGATGATGGTGAAACTGACAATATTAATCATAATGATAATAATACAATGGATAAAACGGATTCTTTAGATGTGAGTAATAGTTATTTCATGTTTCATATATATATATATATATATATATATATATATATATATATATGCAATTAGTAATATTTATGGAAGTCCTATGAGTCTGATAAATGAATAATGCTTGTTTTAGTTTAAGACATTTATGTTCTTCACATTCATCATTGTATACTTCAATGAAGCCAGAAATGCCACATTTTACAGTCAAAACGATATCATTTATGATGTATTTAGGAATTGATAGTTTTGAACTATAGTATATTAACAATAGTTTTTAGGTATACAATACAATATTACTGCTGATTATCCACTACAATTTTGAACTAAAATTCAGAAACTTGATCTTGAATAAGTATAGGAGATCAAGCTGATTGCTAATAAATCAAACAACTAATTAGTTGAATATTATGTTTTATCATTATTAATAAATCGTTTAAAAATTTCATGTAAAAGTTAGCAATGTATTAGGTTATTTTTAAGGTAAATATGTACGTATAATAACTGGCTACAAAATGAATAACACATAACAACGAAGAATAATATTTTCGATGATATCTTCATTAACCTTTGCTTTACTATACAGGTTATTTCTACATACAAATGTAAAATACTAAACCAGTCAAGGCAATTTATCAGTCGAGTATAACATTGAAATAGATTACATAATATAACATAATAATTAAAATGTATAAACTGATAATAAGAAAAAAAGTTTATTATTTAACAATTTAAGTGAATATTACCCTTATCAAATGTCTTAGTTCTTTATTATTTCTTAAAAATACTATTACGTAATTCTTATTAATTTATCAACACTGGATGTTTATTCATTCATTTTAATGACTGAATTCGGCATTTACAGTATAAAAAAATTAAAGATAAATTTTCATTTCAGTTAGTTAATTTGCTTACTGTTCAATGTTTAACATCATGGCGAGAAATATTCGGTGTAAAACCGACACCTCCAAATACCCTGGTACGGCCGAGGGTGGGAAGAGTCAGCTCTCTCTTTCAAAAATGCTCTGACATGGCCACGTGCATAGAGCCACTCTGTCAGGGAAGTCCTCTTCCCTGCCTTCTCACGGCGAGGGTGTTGTTTAGGTAAGTGAGGGGACAAAAAGCGAATGTCTGGTGCATTAACCGGGTTGATGCATATAGAGGATCCACTTAGGGGAGTTGGAAAACACTCATTCCAAACTAATGAAGCAGATGGGCTCCAAGATCCTGAGGTAAAAAATGAACTATGAACCATTTGTTGATCACTGGCTGCCATGAGACTGCATCCCTTACATTACTGCACTGCCTTGTTAATCAAACCTTTAGGTCAAGGGCTTCGGGCGTGTCCTCTTATGAAAACCACCTGTTTCGGTTCGAGCACCCGAGCAGTATCATAGCCCGCACACACATTAAGTGACTTGTATGGCGCAAATGTTTTCGATGCCCCCTTGTATCAATATTTATATATTGAAATAAAATAAAATGACCCCATTCCTAATGATGCACATCTATATAAATATTCTGACTATTCAATAAATCCACTTGAAATAAGTCATTACAATTTTATCATTAACAAAATAATATGAAAATTCATTTTGTGAACTGAGTTATAAGTTTTACTATGTGTCCAATAGAAAATGTTTGTTTCATATCACATACACATTCAATATGTATAAATTATGAAGTTTACTGAAAAGTACACTGATAAAATGTCTTCAAAAAGTGCATTTACACCATTCACGTTTTTTTTTTTTTTGTTTTTGCTTAAAAATAAATCCAACCGTAATTTTATTGTTTAACTACTTTTGAATTATTTACACATTAAATATCTTTGTAGAAGATCTTAATTTAAAATTTTCATGAATATTGATAAGAAATCACATTCAATAATGATCGTTGTAGTTAGCTAATAAGAAAGTTTGGTAAAAAAAAATCTTTGTATTTACCAAATTCAATCGTTTATTATGTTAGAATCTATATATATATTCCTGGTAAAAATCTATGCATTGGATACGGTACTGTGAATTATTTTTACATTTTATTAAGTAGTATATTTTATTATTTTCTTTCACTAATAATAAGTTAGCTAAGTAGTTCTTCCATTATTATAACATATTCTTTTTAATAATTATAGTACTTATTATTACTTATTGCTATATATAGTTTAATTTTAAAATAATGCATAAATGTTTACATGACTATCATATCAACAAACTAGTAAGAGTATAGGTTCATCAAATCTCGTAAGGCGGGATGGTGGATGTGTACTACTGAGGAGTCCCGAAATAGGACGAAACGATCGTCAAGGGCTTCCAGGTTTTTTTTGCTGGTCTAGCTTCAATGGACTCATGAATTCAACCATAAAATTACTAATATCTCCACTAAATCCCCTTCTCATAATAATCATCGTATGCACATTAATGTCTGGCTTTAAAATGTATTTCCTGGAGTTCTAGTGAGAAGCAGTAACCAGTGGAATTCAACCAGGTCAGTCATGAAATAGTAATTCACTGAAGACAATGGTGAATATATCACTGAATTTTGTGGATTGGTTGAAGTTACACATTAACACGGTTGGATAATATCCGGCTTAGTGGTGTAGAGATTAAATGTTTGTGCCCAAGACTGATATGTTTTGTATTCAAAGTTCGCGAGGCGGCATCGCAGATAGGCACTGTTGAGGAGTCCCGTAGTAGGAAAAAACGGCCGTTTAACATGATAAAAAAATGACAATCCCCCTCAAAAATTTAATGTAGAATATTGATGAATATTAAAATAGAAAAAGCTAAGTAACTAATGAATGAAACCTATTGATCTATCGAAAAAAATAAAGACAACTGATCAAAGAACATTTAACTTTTAATAATGTCATTCACTAAACCTGTACCATCACATTTTTAGTTTATTATATCATGTGAAAGATGATTGAAAATATTTCTAACTATTGGAAATAATTACGTAATAGACCAAAAATTGATATGAATAATTGTCAATTTGAACAATATTAAGAAATTGTGATTATAGAATTGTGTTACGTCATAAATTGTTTGTAGGCAAAAATAATGAAAGGAAATGATGTAATAATCTAATTTCTAATAAAAAATTATTATGATTAAAATATTTTATAGAAGTAAGATAGTTCTGCAGCAATTCTGCAGCAATTCGGAAGACTCTCCCAGTCTCCCACATTGTAAGAGCATTCCATGTATTTAAATAAATGGTTGCTCTGGTTGTCAGAATGGGCATCGACCTCGTGACTTCCGAAGTAACTCGGCTTTCGTCATGAGACGTCATAACTCTTCTATATGAAGAACTTCTGATTCCCAGGGCAGAGTTTAAATGGTTTGAATAATTTTTTCTGGTTAGATTTTTTTTAGCGAGTTAGTTTTCTACGGGATGGGGTCACTAACCCCATGCTCAACCCACTTCCTTTATCCGGGCTTGGGACCGTCAGTAGTCCCCGAAGGGACTCCTGGCGGAGTTAAGGTACGATAGTTACTTTTTTAATATTTATGAAGGACAGAATGAAATAAATTTGTAGTAATAATTAATCAATATTTATGAAGAAATAATGCAGTGATAATGACAGTAGATTACAGAGTAGGGAATCTAAGAACAGTGTTACTACCATTATAACTGAGAAATTGAGCATGTCGCTGTTGTACATAAAAATTAGGCTAGAATAGGTGAATTTCTAAAGGCTCTATGGTACATAAGTTCCTGATTTGTATTCCTTTTGAGCCACTCTTTTGTCTTTATGGATTACTTTGAATTCTAGCGAAGCAACCTAATCAACGTTCGGACGATAACTTACAGGTGAACTATTAACTGACTCTGTTACTCCTCTAAAGAGATAAGAGGGGGAATGATGAGAGAAGCGTCCCGAGAGTGCTCTCTTCGTCTTTTGAATACAATTTGCCCCACAGGAATAAGTAAACATATGTTAATATTGGTCCAAACCTGAAGCTTGTGCTTCATAAATTCACGGATCAAAAGACGACTGAGAATTGAATAATTAGTTAAATTTGGAATTATTATTTATTGTTACTATTTAGATTGCTCCTCAATTGAGTCATAAATTATTTAAGTTCCGCCGTTTCCTTTGTCTTGCTGAAACCTATGTATATTAATCAAGGTAGGCTTTCGTTACATTTCATCTATGTGAAATGTTAAAAAGAAAAATCTACACTCGTGTTTTCATTAGTTATCTTTTCCGTCTTCACCTTGGTATTATGGTAGATTTTTTAGGTTATTGCAAGACAATGTAATTGTATTTACATTCTATCTATCGATTGATGCTTTAACAATGATGGATAGAATCAAGTGAAATATAAACCATTGTATGACGAAATTAAATCAATTGATATAGTATGGACTCATTTATTTACCTTTGAGAAACGGTGTTAGTTTGAGGACAGATGATACTATTTGGTATTCAAAATCAATCTAGCTTGCTATCTTAAGACTGTCTTTTGACAATCAGTTTATAGATTCCGATTAGGGTGTATGAAGATATCAAATTAAATTACTTAACTGATTGAATCTTTAGTTCTATTTTATTATTATAATATACACAGTTTGCCCAGGTGAAATATATTTTCCATATTTCCATATGTTTTAGCATTTAGAAAAACACGTAATTAAATAAAAAGAAATAGATAATCCGTAAAATGGCATGTTTAACGGGTGAAAAATGATTTTATTTGGAACCAATAAAGACAAAGTGACAATTTGTTTGAGCTTCATTGAATACACTCATGTTTTTATTTTTAGGCTTTGTTTTGGTATCTATCTATTTTTCTTTCTTTCTCTTGCTATATATATATATATATATATATATATATATATATATATATATATATATATATATATGCTAAGCTATGTAATTCATTTTGTAGAGTATACAGAATGTAATTTGAGATAAGTTTTAGGGTGTGTATTTCGCCTTATTTTAGATTTATTAATCGAATAAACCTGTCATATCCCAGTGTTAATGTTAAGACCGAAAC